TCAATATTCATCGATTCTCTTTGAAATGTCGATATGTTGTAGATAAGGCAATTCTCTACAAGATCACTTTTCACTAAGTTTCATTTTAATGAGGTCATCATAGTGCAAAATTCAATTAAAGGCCACATGTCAGAATTTTCGTCATTTGCGTGTTATGTCTATGGAAGGTGAATTTTGTTCACATCATGAATCTACATGGCATTCATCTATGAGCACTATCTATCTTATGTGTGCTCTGTTTTCTCCCAAATTGGGGTATGTTATAGCTGAGACCATGGGCTATAAAAAAGGGTGACTTTGTTTTTTAATCAGATGTTGGGATCATGTTAAAATTTTCGATCGAAAGTTGAAATAGCAAATTTTGAAAGAATCATTAGGTGATACGTAACGAAGTCAACGTATCACCTTTTGATTTCGTCAAGATTGTTATTAGGTGATACGTAACGAAGTCTACGTATCACCTATTGATTTCGTCAAGATTTTCTTTTTTATTTTTATTTTTTATTTTATTATTCTTCCTCGATTTTGTTCGCAGGATATCTCAGGACTGAATCGAGCCATTGTCATGAAACTTTCAATGATGATAGATCTTAGTCTAACTTAGAACTGCGTGACTTTTTAAAGACTCAAAGTCATCGTGACGTCATCCAGGCGCCATTTTGTAAAAATCAACTTATGATCATATCTTCATAACGGAAAGTAATTTTACATTCATATTTATCAAGATTAAGATCAATATCCGTCGGGTCAATATGAGGTCAATAAATGCGCGCAAAAATGCGCGTACGCGTAGGCGCGCGCGTTAATGCGCGCGTAAAATTTTTAATTGCTCAAAATCGTCTTAAATTTTTTTTGCATACGTTTCAGGCAATTATAAGCATTTCATAAAAAATCACGCAAAACACGCATTTTTGCACGTTTTCGTTCGTCACGGCCGAACGAAAAATAATTTCTCCGCAAAAGCTTTTGACCGAATATTCCTCATATTTTTCCGGAAAATTTGATACCATGTTTAGCTCTTTATCACTATTAATAACGGAATGAGCGTCCGTTCAAGATAACCGTCCGCACGCGCGATTTTTGCAATACATAGCATATAAGGGCAAAAACATGCCTATAAAAAGTCCAGTGGGATGAATAAGGACTGCCAATTTTGTTGTCATATTTAGATAGAGTATGAGTCGGAGGTATGATTTCATATCTCATTTGGCCATTAAGTACATCTTAACGTCATCATAATGGCCTTGGAAGTCAAAAATACAAAATTGCATATTATGACGTCATTGTATTTATGGAAAATGTAGTGTATTTCTCTCAATATTCATCGATTCTCTTTGAAATGTCGATATGTTGTAGATAAGGCAATTCTCTACAAGATCACTTTTCACTAAGTTTCATTTTAATGAGGTCATCATAGTGCAAAATTCAATTAAAGGCCACATGTCAGAATTTTCGTCATTTGCGTGTTATGTCTATGGAAGGTGAATTTTGTTCACATCATGAATCTACATGGCATTCATCTATGAGCACTATCTATCTTATGTGTGCTCTGTTTTCTCCCAAATTGGGGTATGTTATAGCTGAGACCATGGGCTATAAAAAAGGGTGACTTAGTTTTTTGATCAGATGATGAGATCATATCACAATTTTCAGTTGAATGTTAAAATGATGAATATGTCACGTATGTCCTTTTTGTGAAACTTAAACGTTAGCAGTGTCCTCGTATTTGAAATTATGTAAGGAAACCCTTTTACTTTCTAGACTTTACTCTCAGACACTATTGAGTGACTGACTGACATCTTTTTTTCTCTGGTAATAAAATACATAAAATGAGCGTTATAGAGAACATGAGCATTCGGCTACATTAATAACCCACTCTGTTCTCATTGTTCATTTCCTATTCAAGACTTGAATAATGACGAACTTCATTCAATATTTGGTAGTAATACTACATATACTTATACTGATATCAATGATTTAAACTATTTATCCGAAAAAGAATATGAGTTTCATTTCAGTAGGTTTCTGAACTGTAAATATTATATTGATGAGGATTTTACGACTGAATTCAGTAACATTAACTATCATTTTAGTATTTTACATTTTAATTCGCGTAGTTTAAACATACATTGTAATGCTTTATCCAATTTCATCTGTACTTATGTATAGAAACTTGGGTTAATGATAGTACGCCACTATTATTCAATGTGTCTGGTCATTCATTTATACATTTTAATCGCCAAGTAGAAAAGAGTAGAGGTGTTGGTCTATTGGTCGCTGACAATTTTGAATATGAAATACGCAATGATATATTTATATTATACCCATCATACAACTATGAATCACTGTTTATTGAAAGCAATTTGCCGAGACATAATAATATTATTGTAGGTGTCATATATAGGAAACCCCAATCAAATATCAATGATTTCATCCCTGTCTTTGAAATTTTTTTACAAAAAACACATACTGAACATAAACAGGTTTATATAATGGGAGATTTTAACATTGATCCCGTGAAATTTACTGGCAATGCTGTATGTAATTTCTTGAGCGAAATACATTCAAATCTTTGTATTTCTTTAATTGACAAGCCTTTAAGAAAGACTGACGGATCAATATCCCTCTAATCCACATTCCTTATACAGTGACAGTATATATCCATCCGATATTTAAAGATTTTATTTTCAAGCAACTAGTGAATCTCACGTCGACAACTCAAAATGATCGCTAATGTATTCTCACATTTATTTTGACTTTTCATTTACGCCGGGACATCGTGACGTCATACACTATTCATTTTTAATTATTCAGGCATAAGCTCTTATTTATCAATTACATTTTCATTTCTATGAATAAGATAAAAATCGTCAAAATGCGTTCTTCATGATGTAAATTAGAGTCAAAGGTGTAACTGGTTACTGCACAGAGTCAATGGTCATATAGGCCCGAATTCACAACGGAGGTCTGAGGACAGACCCGGTTTGATCAGACCAAGGTTTGTACAAACCTCGGTCTGAGCTCAAACCTGGTTTATTTTCAAACCCATTCCACAAAGGAAGGTTTGTATAAACCTTGGTCTGTAATTCCCAAACCTCCGACCAAGGTTTGTAAAACTAGTCTCAGCCATAGGGTTTCTAACATAATTTTTATGGGCTAGGGTTTAAATGTTAAGAATTGAAAAAACTGTTAAACTAAGCATTCTTAGTACGATCCGGACATCTTAATGAGCAATCTTGAAAAGATGATGGTTAGAACATCTCTGAAATAAACTTTTGAATTGTATTTTCATGAATTAATCGAACCAAACTGGCGCGCCGATGCAGAAAGTGCCCCACGTACTCACATTTGTGTGGTGCTGGTGAAGCACTCAATCTGACCCAGAACAAATTGACATCGGCACCTGAAAACCTTCGTTAGATAAATACATCTAAGGTTGTCAAGGGCTCTTTTAAATTAACTGTAAGAGTCTTATTGTTTTGGGGGTTACACATTCTTATCAATAAAATCACCTAATAATAATAATAATAATAATGATTTAATATGAATTAAGTTTTTATTGTGATTAATATATTAATTCATTTGATTGCAATTGTTAATTACTATACATCTATATGGTTATTTTGTTAGAATGGTCAATCAATTATTATTTTAACTAGTTCCCCGTTTGTTTCCCCAACTGGCTATTTTTTTCACATCAAAATTGCAACTGGTAAATGATTTGTTTCCATATAATATTAATTTTTAAAAATTCCTCTATGGCCATCTTTTCTTTCTCTCTCCCTCCCTGTCTCTTTCTCTGTCCCCGTCCCTCTCTCTTTCTACCCATTTTTGTTCTCTCTCCCTCCCTTTCTCTATTAATTCTTTTTCTTTCTCCCCTCTTTCTCTATTCATCTTTCTCTCTCTCCCTCCCTGTCTCTTTCTCTGTCCCCGTCCCTCCTCTCTTTCTATACCCATTTTTGTTCTCTCTCCTTTTCTCTCTATTAATTCTTTTTCTTTCTCCCCTCTCTCTCTCTCTCTCTCTCCCTCCCTTTCTCTCTCTATTAATTTTTTTCTTTGTCCCCTCTCTCTCTCTATTCAACTTTCTCTCTCTCTCTCTTCTTCTTCTTTTTTGCAATGAAACACATAATGCAAAACCATGCAAACTGCAAACACACACATCTGCACCCCCCCCCCAAAAAAAAAAAGGGGGAGAAAGAGAGAGAGAGATAATCTGACACATATCTATTTCAGTTATCTTTGTAAATATATGAAAGCAAGAATATTGTATTTGTATTTTCATGTTTTACATAAATAATTGAGCATACAACACAATAGTAATCTACCGTTTGTTCAAACAATGCAGTTCACATTTGTAAATTTTGTAGCATGCTTATATGAAATATAGCCCACTAGAGGTTAAGAGAGGCTCTGGAAGGCCAATTAAAAGTCTCACTGTAGCGCTATTAGCAGAAAGAAAATCAGAAATACAACAAAATGGGTGACGAAAATTCAAATTTGCACATAAAAGTTCTTTAATTCTGACTTCGCTTAGTACAGTAAATAATATTTGTTCGAATACTCTCCCCTAGCTGCCAACCAAATAATTTATATTGACCCACCCCTCAACTCAGCAGTACAATGCTAATTATAGTTAAATCGGGTGCATTTAATCTATAGAGAACACTTAATTACAAATACCGTCAGAGTGACAACAAATACTTATCAACTAAACATAACATCAAAAATATTCAACACCCAGGTTCTTGATGTAATGCTGCATAACTACGAAGTATTGTGGGAACACCAAGGAGGGGCCGTATTTTGAAATACTCTTAGTATTGATGAGGCATGGAACGTCCTCATCCTTGCATTTAATAAATATGCGCTCAATCACACATCTCCCTTTTTTGTGTGTGAAGTGTTAAAGCCCCACTGTACTACTTTTAGCTACTTGCTCCCTCTATATAGAAAACTTCCCCAATCTGTGCCTGTTAATCCCCCATGATCCTCTTTTTCTTATGTTAATTGAGAACTGAATTGATGAGATAGCCTCCCGTCAGTGACCTTGCTGGGTTGTCTAATCCTCTTTGGCTGAACTAGTACAGATGGCCTTTAAAGCACATCTGTGGTCGACCCTCTGAATGAAGAAATGGCTTCTGATGAGGCAGAGAAGGCATGGATACCTGCAAAATTGAATGAACAAAATAAACAATATCATAAACAATATTTTTAATTTCGACTTGTTCATTTTTTTTCTTGGAGGGGGGTGGGGGGGGGGGTAATACTATAGAAAGGATACAATGTATTGTACACATAATCAGGAATTATTCAATCCTGTGTCACTAATACAAAAACTATGAGGTTCCACTTGACAACAAACTAATCAAGTTGCATCCAGATATCAAAAACATTAATTGTGATTTGTGAACTGAAATTTAAAAGCACATGAGCTCGTTTGAATTAATTACTTAATGCGAGTTGTTACTATATTACCAAATGAACATTCCTAACATGTCACATGTTGGCCAAATACAAAAAAGGAAACAAGATTGATTAAGAAAAAGAATAAACAAATGTTTTCATATAAAGAAATAATCTACAGTACCTACCCTATAGTCTATCTCCAAGAATCAACTGTTATTCATATGCCCTAGCATCAAGCTGTCAATTCAGTGCACACTCAGAAAAGATCCTGGCATCGTGGCTGCTACCAGTCCAGGCCACCTTGCAACGATACTAGTTATTTTCCCAGCATAATCACAGACAACCTGTCAATATGAAATAACATGTTGGCATTCATTAGTTATGAAAACTCACTCATTTCACACTTCAGATAGGCCGTGAAATGTATAAATTTCACTTGTTATTTATGGTAATTAATGCAAATGCAGTTGAATATGTGATAATTGCTTTTCAATATCTATTCATACAACAAAAATTGGAAGAAAATTCTAATTACCCTATATTTATTGACTGATGAAGTATTTCTTCATTTTTAACTCATGTTTTCATTGTTTATCTTGTAACAATGTAAACAAAAATAATCTCACTTTTAACAAAACATTTCGAGCCTAAAACAACAAATGCTTTGTTTGTGTGTGGGGGGGGGGGGAGGGGGTACCCACTCTCGCATCTTTTTATTGGAAATGAACCTGTTTGTTTTTCTATAGTTTAAAATATATAGTGGTAATTGCCATTGATCAATTTACATGCTTCTCTTTGTTGTTTTTTCTTTCATTGATCAATGGCAAAAACAGTGGCCCAATTGCCATGGCCATCAACAAAATATCAGAAATCTAGAGGTCATATCCGTATTGCCAATAGAAGGATGGAACAAGTTTTGATTTTTCAAATTTCCCTTTCGTTAAAAAGATATTAACGAGTGTTAGGATTTTTAAGTTTAACTATCCATTGGATATTCTTAACTGTGTACAAAGGCAGGGAAATGAGTACCTGTACGCGAATATTACTTTAATATCCATTTGGCCACTAGAAATCTTGCATTGGTCACCAATGAATTAGCATGGATGTACAACACACAAGACTGGAGAGTGTATATATCTAATGTGAAAATTTTGCAAGGTACAAAAAAAAAGGTCTAAAGGGAAAGCCGTGCTGGATCCAGTCATGATGTATTCATTTATTCTCACCTGAACATCGATGGAGTACCTGTTCTTCCTATTGAAGTAGTACCTGGCTCTTGCCCCACCAGGGCTCCTGATGTAAACATGTGTCCCATCAACAGCAACTCCTGGAAATCTGCAGTACTGGAAAAACTGCTTCTGAATAGTAGTCACTATTGCCTTGTAACTTGTAGGAAACTTCATGACTTGTCCCTTTCTTCTGACAACAGCTTCGGAAACATCCCTCACTCACTACTCTCCATTCGGCAAACAGATGAATATGACACGGCATGCCACCTCCTCACGGTGCATCCTTTAGATCGAATTACCTTTTTAAAAAAATTAAAAAAACAAGCATTCAAATAAATCATTTTTTTGCTGGTTTATGCTATTATATTTTTACATCCCCAACTGTCACTGTCACTTTACAAAAAAAAAAATCCTGATTTCTAGATGTGGTGTGAATCAATTTAACGTAAAAGACAAAATTGTCTATGCCTTTTCTAATCTCCTTCACGGCTTCACCTTTTGAAAAATAAGTTTAAGTAGTTAAGTAGTTTTACACAAAACAAGAAATCACAAACCTGTTTCCAACACATAATCTGAATAATTTCCTCATGTATTAAAGCCAAATAACAGTATTGGGAAATGCCCCACACACAAATTATGAACATTAATGCTCCCATCACCTACAGTACCATGTAAAAGAATAAATATCATAACTAATCTATCAATGTATCGAATATGACAGAAAATGCTTAGAAATTGAATAAATTTATGTAAATGCACATGTGTATTGCATTGGGGGCTTGCACGGTCGTAGGCAGACCAGCGAAGCGGGGCAAACGAACAGTGAATTTAGGCGGTCAACATGAATTGAAATATTTCTGCATTTTAATAACGACACTAGTCTAGGGTTGGATATTACAACAGAAGCCCTTTTTTGTATAGCTATGTTAACAATATTCATCAAGTAGTTTGGCCATGTTTTCAGCAACTTTCCCAATACAGAATTTGAATTCAAAGTAGCCTACCTCAATCTAAAACAAAAGGCTCATCATCCAGCGGGTTTTCCCAATCTCAGACTCAGAGGCCTCTGCCCGGTTGTGCTGCTATATATTGCTCCAGCTCCTCCTTCAGGTACACCAGCTCATTATGCCGAATCAGCTGCATTTCTACCATCTTTATTAGAGTGAAGATAAAATTAAACAAATGTTTAAACAATGTTTTTAAATTAAAGAAATGTTATTACTTGTGCTTGTGACTTTGTGGGTGATCCTTGCTCTGGAGACTAAGCCAGTTAATTAAGACAATCAGAACCAGATCTAAATTTAATAAAACTAAGCTTTGCTTGTCACGACTCATACTAGATCTAGTCATAGACAGAAATAACCGTCTGAGTGATATGGGTCATTTCTTTAATAAAAATAATATTAAAACTGACATTTGTTGACATTCTATAATCGGAGGTCTAGTGGAGCCAGGCGTAGTCTCAGTGAACAACCGGCGATATAGAGAGACTGAAGCTTTTGGTCCATGCCTGTCAGTGTGATTCATTTTGGGGAACATTGGCATTGCTGATGCCATTTTAATTTCTATTTATTTAGGTACCAGTGTCAGTGAAACAAGTCAAGTGATGGACATCATTGCCAGGCCTATACTAGGCTAGAGCCTGCATGGTATTATTATCATTATCATGAATTTGTAATAACTAGTGTAGGTCTAGGCCTATTCTAATAGGCATGTGTCATGGCATTGCTGACAACAAGACGAAATTAAACATGACAGTCATACTGACATACTCAGATATAGCCTACAGCTACTGTAGGCCCGGCTAGGCCCAACTCCAGCCCAGGGTCAGAGGGTGCGAGCTCCCCCGCCGCCTTGGGCGTTGGACTCGAGCTCCCTCGGACTCAGTCCCTGAACTCTGGAATTGAGAGGCCGTCGGATATGTAAACACCGAACATTTCATGGAAAATGGAAAGTTATAAAGCATATCACATATTGAAATGTCAGTAACGTGAAGAGTATGGATTCGACTACATGTACAGGTTTTATACTTACGATTTTAAGGAAAGGATCGAGAGATTGAGAGATTTCAATTGCACTACAATCGGGCTGACCAGATACTATCGCAGATTGTTTTGGCGGTGAATTATTTGGATAAAATCAATCGAGCATAAATTATCTCCACCCAGTGCTGCATCCTGATTGGTTGATAGCTCTCAAACCAGGTTTGAGAAATTACAAACCTCCTATCTGAGCAGTCTGTAAATTTCGGGTCTGATGACGTACATAAACCTGGTCTGAGGACAAACCTTGCTTTGTGAAATGTAATTTCAGACCAAGGTCTGAACTCAAACCTGAAACGCGTCATATGACGTACATAAACCTTGGTCTGAGGACAAACCGGCTTTGTGAAATGCATTTCAGACCAAGGTCTGAACCAAGGTCTAAAACGCGTCATATGACGTACGTAAACCTTGGTCTGAGCTCAAACCTTGCTTTGTGAATTCGGGCCATATTGTCTCAATCTATCTTCCCTAGATCCATAATGATAAAGGGATCGACACAATTTAAACTTGACATATGGATAGATCATTATGGGAGGAGCATTTTATAAAATAATATGATATCGTGTAATGCATTCTTTGTTATGTAAACCAATATCATACGTATCACCTAATTCGTCCAAGTGACGAATTAAAGTCTAGTATTTATTTTGTGTCTGTATAGAAGCATTTATTATTATTCTTCCTCAATTTTGTTCGCAGGATATCTCAAGAATGGCTAAAGCCATTATCATGAAACTTGCCATGATTATAGATCTTAGCCTAACTTAGAACTGCGTGACTTTTCAAAAACTCAAAATTATCGTGACGTCATCCAGGCGCCATTTTGTGAAAATCAACTTATGATCATATCTTTATAACGGAAAAGTATTTCTCATTCATAATTATCACGATTAAGATCAATATCCTTCCGGTCAGTTTCAGGTCAATAAACGTGCGCAAATGCGCGCGTGCGCGCTCGTCCGCGCGTTTACGCGCGCGCAAAAAATTAAAAAGCTCTAAATCATCCCAAATTTTTTTTGCATACGTTTAAGGCCATATGGAGCATTTGATAAAAAAATTACGCACACGCGCATGCGCGCGCGTTTTCGCGCGTACTGGCATTTTGCAACATAGAATCGCCAATTTTTTTCTGTCATCATATTTGGTACATTTTTCCAAGCATTTTGATAATTTGTTCACCTTTTATTAACGCAATGAGCGTCCGTCAAAGTTGACAGCACGCGCAGATTTGCGTTATCTTTATCCACAATACATGGGCAAAAACATGCCTATATAAAATTCATTGTAACTCTTTAGAATAGATAGAAACTCCTAATATTTTTTCATATTTAGATAGATTATGAGTCGGAAATATGATTTCATGTCTCATTTTATCCTCAATTAACTCATGACGTCATCATAATGGCCTCCAAACTCAAAATTTTAATTTGCATATTATGACGTCAGCATATTTTTGGAAAATTGATTGTATCTCTGTAAATATGGATCAATTTTCTTTTTAATTTTGATATGTTCTAGCTGAGACAATTTTCTACAAATGTAGTATTCACAATTTTTATTTTTGACAAAAGTATCATGGTGTATTTTTGCGATTAAAGGAGGCATGTCAATTTTTCGCATTTTGCGTGTATTCTCTATGGGACATGACTTTTTCTCAAAACTGGATTCTACACTCCTGTCTTTCGCGAGCAAAATCTCCGTTGTTTTATCTTTGTTTTCGCTGAGCTTCGGATATGTTGTAGCTGAGACAATGAGCTATCAAAAGTGTGCCCTTTATTTTTCAATTAGATGCCGGGATCATGCTCATATTTCACTTGCAAAGTAGGATTTCTGAATTCCATTTCCCGTTTACGTGTAATCGCTATGGGAGATGTTTTGGTATATCGGTAACGCACTTGACTTCCAACCTCGAGATCCCTGGTTCGAGTCCGGGTGTCTCCAACACTTTTTTTTCTTCACTTTTTTTTCCTTTTGACCTTCACTGTACCATCTCCTTTGATTATTTAAACACGTAGATTCGCAAATATTGTCATAAATAACCCTTTTTACTTTATTATTACCCTATTTTCACTTAATCCATTACTTTTTGCGTGTAATCCCTATAGGAGATGACTTTTTCTCAAATCTGGACTCTATATTCCTGTCTTTTGCGAGCAATATCGCCGTTATTTCGGCTTGGATTTTGTTGATTTTTGAGTATGTTGTAGCTGAGACTATATGCTATCTAAATCAATCCTCATTTTTTCAATAAGATGTCATGATCGCGCTCATGATCATGATCATTATCATCATGATCATCATTATCATAATGATGATAATCATTTATCAATTACATTTTCATTTCTTTGAATAAGATAAAATCGTCAAAAGGTGTTCTTCATGATGTAAATTAGAGTCAAATGTGTAACTAGTTACTGCACAGGGTCAAAGGTCATATATTGTTTCAATCTATCTTCCCTAGATCCATGATGATCAAGGAGACACAATTTAATCTTGACATATGAATAGATCATAATGGGAGAAGCATATAAATGGGAGAAGCATTTTACAAAATAATATATCGTGTAATGCATTATTCGTTAAGTCAACCATTATCATACGTATCACCTAATTCGTCTAAGTGACGAATTAAAGTCTAGTATTTATTTTGTGTCTGTATAGAAGAAATTATTATTATTCTTCCTCAATTTTGTTCGCAGGATATCTCAAGAATGGCTAAAACCATTATCATGAAACTTGCCATGATGATAGATCTTAGTCTAACTTAGAACTGCGTGACTTTTCAAAAACTCAAAATCATCGTAACGTCATGTAGGCGCCATTTTGTGAAAATCAACTTATGATCATATCTTCATAACGGAAAAGTATTTCTCATTCTTAATTATCATGATTAAGATCAATATCCGTCCGGTCAATTCCAGGTCAATAAACGTGCGCAAATGCGCGCGTGCGCGTTCATCCGTGCGTTTACGCGCGCGCAAAAATTTAAAATGCTCTAAATCATCCCAAATTTTTTTTTGCATACGTTTTAGGCCATATGGAGCATTTAACAAAAAATTATGCTCACGCGCATGCGCGCGCGTTTTTTGCGCGTACTAGCATTTTGCAACATAGAATCGCCGAATTTTCTCTATCATCATATTTGGCACATTTTTCCAAGCATTTTGATAACTTGTTAACCTTTTAATAACGCATTGAGCGTCCGTCAAAGTTGACAGCGCGCGCGGACCTGCGTTTTCTTTATCCACAATACATGAGCAAAAACATGCCTATACAAAATTCTTTGTAACTCTTCAGAATAGATAGGAACTTCCAATATTTTTTCATATTTAGATACATTATGCGTCGGAGATATGATTTCATGTCTCGTTTGACCCTCAATTAACTCATGACGTCATCATGATGGCCTCCGAACTCAAAATTTAAATTTTGATAGTATGACGTTTGCATATTTTTGGACAATTGATTGTATCTCTGTAAAAATTGATTTTTTTTCTTGCAAATTTTGATATGTTCTAGCTGAGATAATTTTCTGCAAATGCAGAGGCCACAATTTTCCAGTTTGACAAAGGTATCATGTCGTATTTTTGCGATTAAAGGAGGCATGTCAATTTTTCAACTTTTGCGTGTATTGTCTATGGCACATGACTATTTCTCAAAACTGGATTCTACATTTCCCTCTTTCGCGAGCAATATCTCCGTTGTTTTAGGTTTGTTTTTGCTGAGCTTCGGGTATGTTGTAGCTGAGACAAAATGCTATCTCCAGTGTGCACTTTATTTTTCGATCATATGCCGGGATCATGCTCATATTTCACTTGCAAAGTAGGACTTCAGAATTCCATTTCCCGTTTACGTGTTATCGCTAAGGGAGATATTTTGGTATATCAGTAACGCACTTGACTTCCAACCTCGAGATCCCTGGTTCGAGTCCGGGTGTCTCCAACAATTTTTTTCTTCACTTTTTTTTCCTTTTGACCTTTCACTGTACCATCTCCTTTGATTATTTAAACACGTAGAATCGCAAATAATGTCATAAACAACCCTTTTTACTTTATTATTACCCTATTATCACTTAATCCATTACTTTTTGCGTGTAATCCCTATGGGAGATGACTTTTTCTCAGATCTGGATTCTACATTCCTGTCTTTTGCGAGCAATATCGCCGTTAGTTCTGCTTGGATTTTGTTGATTTTTGAGTATGTTGTAGCTTAGACTATATGCTATCTAAATCAATCCTTATTTTTTTCAATAAGATGTCAGGATCACGCTCATGATCATGATCATGATCATAATCATCATGATAATCATTATCATAATGATGATAATCATTTATCAATTACATTTTCATTTCTTTGAATGAGATAAAATCGTCAAAAGGTGTTCTTCATGATGTAAATTAGAGTCAAATGTGTAACTGGTTACTGCACAGGATTAAAGGTCATATATTGTTTCAATCTATCTTCCCTAGATCCATGATGATCAAGGAGACACAATTTAATCTTGACATATGGATAGATCATAATGGGAGAAGCATATAAATGGGAGAAGCATTTTATAAAATAATATATCGTGTAATGCATTATTCGTTATATAAACCATTATCATACGTATCACCTAATTCGTCTAAGTGACGAATTAAAGTCTAGTTAGGTGATACGTAACGAAGTCTACGTATCACCTATTGATTTCGTCAAGATTGTTATTTATTATTATTTATTATTATTATTCTTCCTCGAATTTGTTCGCAGGATATCTCAAGACTGAATGAAGCCATTGTTATGAATCTTTTAATGATGATAGATCTTAGTCTAACTTAGAACTGCGTGAATTTTCAAAGACTCAAAATTATCGTGACGTCATCCAGGCGCCATTTTGTGAAAATCAACTAATGATCATATCTTCATAACGAATAGTAATTTTTCATTCATATTTATCACGATTAAGATCAATATCCGTCCGGTCAATTTCAAGTCAATAAACGTCCGTAAATGCGCGCGTGCGCGCTCGTCCGCGCGTTTACGCGCGCGCAAAAAATTAAAATGCTCCAAATCATCCCAAATTTTTTTTGCATACGTTTCAGGCCATATGGAGCATTTGATAAAAAAATTACGCACACGCGCATGCGCGCGCGTTTTCGCGCGTACTGGCATTTTGCAACATAGAATCGCCGATTTTTTTCTGACATCATATTTGGTACATTTTTCCAAGCATTTTGATAATTTGTTCACCTTTTATTAACGCAATGAGCGTCCGTCAAAGTTGACAGCACACGCGGATT